GGGGGGTTACATTAACCCATAATTTGATATTTGCTGTTAAGTTTGAAAAGTTCTGGAAATAATTGATTTGCGACAGTCTTAGAGGTTATATGTGTGATCTGCAGCAAATAATACGCAGTTTGACCCTCTAAGCAGTGCATCTGTGTTCGGGAGTGCGTCTCCGAATAGTTCCTGGGTGCTCGCCGGAGACGTCTCCGAATTCCGAATATCTTCTGCCGAATGTTATTGTTGTCCTTGAAAATCCATGACGTCTGCTTTCTGTCTCAACAGCAGAAAGCTTTCTGTAATTATCGAGCTGTGACCCCTGCAATATGCATGGACTCGTCTATATTTATCATCTGTATGGACTCGTCTGGATCGTCTGTATGGACTCGTCTGTGTCAGGGTGTGTAGGTTATATACGAGTGAAGGGACGCTCTGATTTGTTTCATTAAATGAAATATCTGGATCAATCTTTCTTTTCATTGTTTGTTGGTTTCTTTATCCAATAATGTTTGGTCTGTTATGATGTGCTTCTTACAGAAATCCTAGCTGTCTCTCTGTCTTTCTCTATCCCTCCTCACCCTTCCCTTTTCCTCCAAGTGTTTCACTTCTGTTATCTATCCATCTATCTAATAATATATATCGATCTATCTATCTATGTGAGCATGTATCTTTGTGTGCGTGTATGTTGTCGTGTGTTTGTGAGTGTGTGTGTGGGGGGAGGGGTGGAGGGGCTGTATGTGTTTAATTAAGTATACATTTGTTTGTTCGTGTGTGCATCCATACGATGCATCAGTATGCCAGAATGTGTACGCGTGCTTACGCCTGTGTGTGAGTGTGTGCGTGTATACACAGTTGTCAATCATTGTTATAGTTCAAAGGTCACAGAACATGGTCTTTCACGTCATTTTTTGTGCTGATTCATGCCAAGGCTGAAATGATTCTCTTCGTTTTCGATTTTAAATTTTATTTTAAAAAAGAATAACGCTAAACAACGTTTGGAACGTCTGAAAAGACAAAATCTTGAAAGAGGGCGAATTTAAAGGTGGGAACGAGTGATTGTGAGGAGAGAGAGAGAAAGAGAGAGAAAGAGAGAGAGAAAGAGAGAGAGAGTGTGTATGTGTTTGTGTGTGTATGTTTGTGTGTGTGTGTGTGTATGTGTGTGTGTTTGTGTGTGTGTGGAGGGGGGCTGGGTGTGT